TTGTGTTATTTTTTAAAAGTAATTAAAGAAATAGGGGTTTCATTAATATTGTACATTTTTATTAAACATAGAAATACAAATAGAGGTTAAACGAGGACAGAATCTGGTAAATCCGTGCGATAATAGAAATATTATCAACTGTATTTAGAATAATGTATAAAATTAATTTTATTTTAATTATTGTAACAAGTTTCCAACTGTGTAAAAATAGTTACAATCGAAAATATTTTACTCACCCTACTAGCTTGGTTTTTTTTGTTTTGTAATTGGTAAATTTTTATTATTTTTTCAACTTATAAATGTCTGTATTGGGTCCATGTCACCGGTTGAAAAATTTAAATATTGATTATAAATACTTAGTATTTATAATCAACGATTTAAGTATATAATTTGGAAATCGTTTGTTCGCATTTTTACGAATAATAATTTTGTTTATAATATAATCGTTTTTGAAAAGTCTACCCACTTAAAATTGTATGTAACCAATAAACCAAGCGGAGTCATCGACCTTCTTATGTTAGGTCAATTTTATAATTTCTAAATTTTGACAAACAAGTCTTGAAAGTACTTTTAGGTTTCTTTTTATCTTGCGTCATTTCCAAAAATTTATATATAACAGAAATGGATTTATTTTAATTACTTTTTTTAAATAAGGTTATGTTTGTTCAAGTGTGCGTGATTAATTATATTATGCCAAACATAAAATATGTTTTTTGTTGTTTGCGTCATGTTTGTATAATATATATTGATATTGATATTATTCTTAAGTGATTTAAATGCTGCAGCTGTTGTGCTATTATAAATTATGTTACTTGTTTCTATTAAAAATTTAATCATAGCAACATTCCTACCGCTGCATAGAGGCCATAATAATGACTTCGCATTTAACAACGTTACTGTGTGCTTGCATTATTGACCATGAAATCAAAACAAACTGCAGACTGCTATTTTTAATTTGCCACTTATTAAATCTAAAAATTAAATTAAAAATAATAATAAAAACAACGACACCAGCTATTAATATTATAAGTTATACAAGCTATTATAAATTAACGCATTGTCACCATTATTGTCCGAAAGGTCATTAAAATAGTATTATATGTATATCTAGAGATAGAGAAAGAGAAGAGTTTTAGTAAATAACTTTAAGTGCACCTAAGGTTGTTATTCTATTTCAAAACAACAATTAATTATTGATAAATCAAGGTCGCCGTGCCATAGAAAATTGCCATGTTTTGTATTGTGTATTTACTTTATTATTAGGTTGAAAAATAGCAACTCCCGTTCCGCTTATATATTTTATACATTATAGTAGTGGTTTTTTTTATACTTTCCGTAGTCGAGTAGAAATCATATTTAGTTGTTGTATGATGTACTTGTATAATTTTAAACGCTTGAAATCGTAGATAAATCAACATTATTTAATTTACTTCAAACCCGACCATTAAAAAGCGATACTGTAATTTTTACTTTTGTTCCATTTGTATTTTTGGTAATGGTTGCAATCGCACATTTTTAGGACAAAAAAACAAAATATAAATCTTAATATTTTATTTTTTTATTTCATTTGCACAAACTGACAGCACAAGAATACCATAAATTAGTTAGCGTAGTTTACTGAACGTGTAAAGCCGCCTTTAAACGAAATTTGCTCGAAAACAAACTAGATAATTTAAATATAAATATTATTATTTGTAAAGATTTGTTTGTGTCTAAAATTTACCACTAAATGTGCCACTAATGACTGCAAAAATCATACCGAGTTCCGGAGATAATTACATTTTTTTTTGTACAAACAGGATATAAAAACTTCTTGGTTGGTACATTTTATTATTAAATATGGTTGTTCAGTGTAACAAAATTTAATAGCTACTAAATCAAATCGAATAACGTACCTAATAATTGAAATGTAATAAAATAAATTACCTAACTTAAAAAAGGTGAAATTTTAAAACTACATATTACAGAATTCGAGAAAAAAATTATTCAAGTACAAATTTGATTCGCATAAATTACAAATAATATTATAAAAATATTTTTTTTTATTTAAATAAAAATCAATCGAATATTGCATAACTCTGATGAAAATGAAAATTAGTCGTTATTACTGTCAATATGTAAATAGACTCAAGTAGGATTAGGAGGATTAATTAATTAATTAACTAACTAATCGTATATTTTATTTGATTTAATAATACGTTTAATCTTGTCTATTAATCTCAGTACAATATTTTACATTATGAACATATTTTCTTCTTCGATTAGCTACTGGCTATTGCAGATGATTTAGTGTATGGCAATAATTTTTATTTAAAAAAAAATAATTTAATGAAACAGTTTTGTTATTTAAATTGTAATGTGTTTATATTATCCACTTAATCGACATTCCGCCATATGTCAAAGTAGAATAACGTTCATTTTTTTCAGTTTAACGCATGCTGTACTTTTTTTCCATATAATTATGAATAATTTATCGTGTTATTTTTTGTTTTGCTCGAATTTAGTTAGTTTAATAACCTTTATTAATGGGTTATTGATTCCATATAATTTATCATCTAAACCAGTTTTTCCTAAAAAATGTCGTGTAAATTTGTTCATAATAGAAAACCTTATTTCGTTACAAAAGTAGAATGTATTTATAATAAAACATTTCTGGTTGTTTCGTTAATTAATAGTTTAATTTTATCAAAGTTACCTTATCGTCTGGAAAAAAAAATAATCACAGCAAACCGATAAGCTCTCTATCTACTTTGTTTAACCTAATAAAAATTTAAAAAACAAGTTTTACTCAGATATTAATATATAGCGGGCCTTTATTGGAGTATTCTAAAAAAAATTATAATAATTTTGTATATCACTAACTAGATTATGTTTTATTTTGTTTAGTTAGGTTAGTTCGAAATAGTTCATATTATACAAAGATTTTAGAAATAAAAAATGTATTTTCAGTCATAATTAGTTAATAAACTTGTCAATTAGATATTGTTCAATTTTTTTTTTTAAATAAAATTCCTATTATGTGTAGTTTGATTGTTTAAACGTTTTATTTTTAGATAGGTATAAAGGTTTTTTTTATCAGAATTGCTTCATGTAACATAATATAATATATTGCTAAATAGCTTTTTATTTCCGCATCTAAGCTAAAAAAATACATAGTTTAATAATGTCCCTGTAAACAAATATTTGTATTACTTTACTGTAGACCTCGATAATAACTAATCAACTATTTACAATAGTAGATCTCACATTTATTTATATTTATATTGTTGTGCAGTTTTTATTATACTCAGTGGTGATACCAGTAATCCTTTGGGATTTGACCGGGTTCGTTATCGAATACATACATTACATTTACATAAATGCTGATAAGTGTATTCGCAATATTTAACGTTATAATATAGCAATTACATATTTGAACTATTATATAAATATATATTTTTAATACGCCACAGAAGTATTTTTGTTTGTCCCTTAATTATTTATATATCTAAATATGAGTGTCTACAAAAATGGTGTATGTTCTTTGCAGACATCAAACGGCTGCATTTGCTTTGATCAAATTGGGCACACACATTATTTAGATGCTGGAAAGTGTACGCCCAGGGCGAAAATCTCTCTTCGGTGCCTTGGGGTGCATCCTCTTACCAAAAATGTCTTAAAAGTTTCCAAATTAACAACAGCGCTATTTATGCGTTAGATATTTTATTACTAATACATCTTTTTATTTAAATTTGTTAAGTTTTATTTTTTGTATTAACTAAAAATAGTTATGATGTAAGTTGTGGTGGTGGTTAATTGAGTTTTTTTAAACTTATGGGGTATTTGGCGGTAGAGAGGGGTGAGTTTGGTTATGTTCAGTCGGGGAGTGAAGGAGAGGATACACATTGTAGTATTTTAATGTTTTTTTAGAATGTGAGGGGGTGAAGAAATAAGGGGATAGTTATAAGGGGAAATCCATAATTTCTGGATAACTAAAATTATATTTATTATTATTATTTAACACCGAGGTGGTGTTGCAATTGTATATTATGTAATCACGATATATTCTGATAACATATTTTCTTGTATTTAAATTATTATGTTTTTGCTATAGAAATAATTTTGTTTTATGTTGATCTATTTAACATAGATAAAATATATTAATTGTATAACTTCCCCTGCGTGAAGTGCTTTAACTGGAAACGGGTGTGACTAGTCCGCGAACTCCAATTATTGGCGATGGGTCGTGGCGTCCCCATCGCCAACTATACTGAAAAGTGTACTGCAATGTCCTCATACTGTCCTTGAGTGTATTGGATAATCGGCCTTTCAACTTAGGGGTTAGGTGCAGGGCTACACTGCTAGGACTCATATACGAAGCCTCGGAATAGATTATTTGGTAAAAAGACTGTAAATAGAAAATTGGATTTTGTTTTTGGTATGTACCTTTAATGTACGGACTCTGTACAGAGCCCGTTATCAGGCTTTATGAAATTCAATTACGATTTTTGAGGATTGAATTAATCTATATTTCGGAACACAATTAAATCAAATCCTTGGGCTCTCAATTTAATTGTTTCCAGAAACTTGAGAGTTATTAAATTGTTCACCTGTTGTAGTGGTTTCGGTGGTGTGTATTGAAAACTCCATCAGGGTAAAAAAAAAATGGCAGCTACAAAACTGGCACACTTTTATCCTGGAACAGATTATTTGTGAGAGAGTAAACTGGTAAAAAATAGTGTTTACAGTGTATTAAGATTGAAAATTCGTTACGATGATATACCCCAATCTAATCTATAGACGATAAAAAAAACCTTAACCAGTTAATCTCAAGCAGTATGTTAGAATTAAAATTATTTTTTATTGAAACTTGTTGGGAGTTTTAAGGGGTTCAAAGGGTCTGAGCTTCCTTAGCTAGCCTTCGTCCACGTACGCTACGCCTTTGGTCAGTGTATCGGTGGCTGTGTTTTACACAACTCTGAGTGTACTCAGCTAATTACGCATTTGTTTGTCTTTTTAAGGGCTGGGATTCGGCATGATCTACCTACCAGCAATCGTGAGCGTCACGTGCTACTTCGAGAAGTACCGGTCGCTGGCCACCGGCATCGCCGTTTGCGGTTCGGGTCTGGGCACGTTCATCTTCGCGCCGCTTGTCGACTATCTGGTGATCGGCTACGGCTGGAAAGTAACCGTAATGATCATCGCCTGCCTGGTGTCGCTGTGCGCCTTTTTCGGGATGTTGTTCCGACCACTGGCTGCCGAGGAGGTGCCCAGCGAGAACGCCACGGTGGTACTCAACATCATCGAACCCGAGTGTCATCCGCTGAACAGTAGTCTGCAGTCGTTTGACGAGGCGCCCCCCAGGTACGACGATCGCAAGATATCGCAGAACATCAAACTGTCAAACGAGGTGAACACCAACACGTTCGGCAACGACCTGGACAAGAGGTCGCCCATGTCCAGGTTCACCCTGAGCCAGCCGGAGTTGATAGTGTCCGGCGGATACGCTGGTTCCAACAACCATTTGAACTTGGCCCGCAACGATGTGTGTTATGCCAGTCAAACGTTGAAGCCCATGTCCAACGGCATCATGTACCAGAAGGACATATTCTACAGCGGAAGCATCAAGAACTTGTCGGAGAACCGCAGGAGGAGGTGCTTGTCGTTTGTACACAATTATCTTAGAGGTCGTTCGCGGGCACTACCAAAAACGTGAGTGACCGTTGCCGCTCTAACGAAAAAGGCTTCGCACACACACTAACCCTGTCCGTATGACCAATAACGGCCGTGGATCAACCCCAGCCCAGTAACCCAACCCCTAACCACCGTCCCTCACACCCTTGGTTAATGTTTTTGACGTGTGGAATATTGTGTGTGTGTGTGTTCGTTGGACTTTACAACCCCCGTGGTGGCTGACCTAGGCCGGTCACTCACATTTTTGGAAGTGCCCTTGTAAAAGGTAAACCCTTAAAACGGCACAAATTAGACTATTTATACGATATTAGATTTACTAGTTGGTTAAAACAGCTAAAACTTTAGCAGGGATTGCTAGATCGCAAGTTATTTCCTGATTGTGTCTATGAGTAAGTTGTCTAGGAACCACTAAACAAAGATGCCGCCATTCTGTCGTCTCCTACCTGACTACTATACTTGCACAATCTAATCCTCGATCTCTACTCGAAGCGGTCAACCACGACTTATGCAACCTAACCATCATTTTGAGGCCTTTCTCTACCTTTAATTTTAATCAAATAACTTTTATCAAAAGTCGGAGTTAAAAAATGTATTGAGAAGTGCTTTAAAAGTACACCCCGAAAATCAAACTGAAAATACTTCATAATAAATTAAAAAATCAGGAAAGTATTTTAATGTACTTATTTACGTAAAGGGTTTTAATTTTTTACAAAGTATATTGCTCATATAATATTAATTGTTTTTATCACCAATGCAATTTCAATGGATACAAATCGTAGTAAAATGTAAACCTTATGATTTTCTGATAAAAAAATTGTGTTTTGTTAATATCGAACGTACGTTTCATTGGAGGTGATTATAATTTTATAAGCTTTTCAAGATGATCATTTGAAATTGTTATACTTGAATACACGGAGAAATAATTTTAATTGTTATTATTATTTTTTAGTGAGAAGGCATTAAAAATTAATTATAACGTGTAAAAATAACTTTTAAATTAGTCTTACAATGTGGACAATTCCGTTTGAAGTGATAATCCTTAAAAATGTTACACTTTTAAGTATATTTCAATTGACGATAACGTGAAAAACTTTAGACGCAAATGGTTGAACATAAATACAATTATAGAAAAATCCGAAATTGTCGTGTTGATTCCACACATGCGTTATCAAATTTAAGCAAAAGTGTCAAGTCGAATGTCACAGCGATAGTTTGATGGAAATATTTTGAAACGTGAAACATATTATTTCACGACAGAAGTGTCTGTAATCAGAAAAACCGATAAAAATAATTATAGGCTTCCTTTATACGGTTTTCATAAAGTGACACCAGCAACACATGTTATATAATACAAGTATAATTTGTGTCGCATGTATAATATATTCGCTGATATCCAATATGTAAGTTCAAATGTGCGGATTGAACTAGTTTTTTTCCTGTTAATTTAATCAATTATTTATCGTTCAGTTCCCCTCGAAGAGCCGCTGTTCAACGTGTTACATCCGTTTATATTCCTTTAAAAAATCTGGACTCCGCCCTCAATTGTCTTTTGTAAATAATTCTTGAACCAAAAAAAAAAAAAAATGGGGAGGGTAGAGGGAAAGGTGTGTCTTTATAAAAAAAAAAAATAATAATAACCTGGTCTCGCATGTTCAGCATGACTGACTGTCGTGACACGTTATATTAAATCAACCTATCGCGATAATATCAAAAGTCAAAAATAAAGGTCGGGTTTACAGTTTTGCTAGGCCAACGCAGGCGAATAATAATAGTATTGTTATTGGACTGCGTCACGTTATTCGTGAGTCGTGGCAATATTTATATTGTTTAAACCCTAAGGGGGGGGGGGGTGTACATGCCCGAAGTTTTTTTGCCCCTTTCCTACCCTTTCGGTTCGTTTTCCCGACACGAAGGAGAGCGTTTAACGCGTTGAACACATTTAAAGTTGTACGTTTGCCCCTTCAGCCCATTGTTTTTAACTAGGACGACGGTAGTTTAACGGTCCGCCCGGATAGTATTGTTTGAATGAAATAATGATCTTTTTGCTTCAATGTGAATCTGAAAAAAGTATTAGTATGTACAACGATGTGTTTTTATTTTTCTAGTTTTGTGTCCAAAAACAAGGCTACAAAACGGAAGTTATACTTTATAAAACTTATACTTTTATATAAGGCATATAAAAAAAAAGTTTACCCAACTATTTAAAAAACAGTCTAATCATAGCCAACTTGTTCGATACAACTTTTATACATAGAACTACGAATTTAATTTAGCGAAACATTAAGAAAATGTCATTAATTCTTTCTGCTAGAAAGGATTTTTAGTCAGAAAGGTCTGAAAATTTGACTGTAGGTAGAGATTTAGCGCATAGTGTCCTTTACATATTAAGGTAAAACTTATTTTTTGTTAAAATAAAAATACTAATAATTATTGTAATTACTATAATTGTAAGTACTGTTATACAAATAATACGTATAATACTGAATATTGTCACCTATTAATATTAGCTTACATTAATATGTGATTTATCAATGTTGATATATTTCACGTAAGATACTTTATTTTTTGCAAATTATAGTAATTTTGCACATTTTTTCTATAATAATGTTTTTGATTTTCTACAATATCCCAATTGATCGGTTAAAATGTTTAATTTGAATAACTAAAAAAAAACACAACTCGAATTCAAAAATTCCTAAAAAATGTAATATTGCCACCGGTTGATATTTAAATATTGTGATTTTTGTTGTTATTTCAGTTTTCATTCATACAGAGTGATAAATAAAGAAATCCTGTAATTTTTTAAAAAATATTATATATTTTCCAAATAATTAGTAAAAACGTTTAATAAATTATTCTCATCTTTAAAACTTATCAATTACTCGCGTTGCCATAAAAAAAAATTTTAAAATCTGTATCGACACTTTTTTATTGAGATTGGGTCTTTGAAAATTTAAAAGAACACCATTTATTGTTTATAAAATTATTTATATTTATAATAAATAGCTTTTACCCTCCACATTTTCGCATCGAAACGTTTATTTTATGAAATACTTGAATAGTACACTAAAAATTGAAGGTTTTTTTTAACCCTCTTCAACATTTTTAGGGAAATCATACATAGATCAAAAGGCGCTAACATACAAACTTTTATATTTTTTCTAGCATTTGTTTTCATTTTAACCCGTAGACTTGAATGTATTAAGACTTGGTAAATAATAAAAAAAAAAAATACTTGGAAAAAGCGTTTTGAGTGTTTGAAATCGACTTTGAGTGTTAAAAACAAAAAACCGTTTAGTGTTAACGTTTGCCGGTGAGAATAACTGTAACACTTTCAAACGCCTAAATCACACGGATAAAGAAAAAAAAATCTTATAAGAAATTAAGATCGGAGATAATATCGTAGTTGACCTCTTCCCGTAACTGATTAATCGGTAGCGATAAGGCAAATAAAAAATAAAAATAATACATACCTAATATAAAACTGTAATAACAACATAATATAATAGTAAAAATAATTAAAAATACATTTCAAAAAATACAACAAATCCCAATTTTACACGTTTAACGTCTAACAATTTAATTAACATGAATTCTTAATTTCACAAAAAAAAAATTGGTTTTTTATTTCTTTTACAGGAAAAATGTGTTACATGTTTGCCATGACAAATATGTTACACATAGATTTTCGCAGCTCTTGTGGCCTTTGAACCGTTTGATAGGTTATCGCGGCAATATTCATAATCAAATAATTATATTATATTCAAGGTTAAAAATAATTAATTATGAATGAACGAGTGTTTTGGCAACACCGTTAAAAATATGTATCCAAAAACCTCTTTAATGTTCTCTTATGTAGGTACTTTTTTTTCAAAAATAAAAACGCAACGGTTTTCTGCTTTTCAGAACGGTATCACAGTCGACCACCATCGGCATGCACACGGATCACTGCACCCCTTTTGAAAATGAAAAATCATCGGCCATCATGTGTTGTTCCTCTGAAGCCAAAGACACAATCAAGCAACTGCTCGACTTTTCCTTATTGAAAGATCCCATTTTCATTATGTACACCGTCTCCAATTTCTTGACCAGCATCGGTTTCAATATACCGTACTTGTATCTTGTGGTGAGTAACAATAAGACGTGTAAAATAATAATAGTTTTTTTTTGTTTATATCTATTACACAACTGATTGTTTCAGCCTCAAGCAAAAGTTATGGGCATCGACAATACCCATTCCAGTTACCTTTTGTCGCTGTTGGGTGCGGCCAACACGTTGGGCAGGATCGTCCTGGGATTCATATCAGACAAACCGTCCATCAATAGGTTAATGGTGTACAATTTGTGCTTGACCATTTGCGGTATCGGTGAGTACATTACGTCTGTAATCGAATGCATCGATTGATAAATACCACATGTAATATTGTATCGATAATCGTACAACAACAATCATTGTTACGGTTGTGTGTTGCAGCGACCATGTTGGCCACCTACTGCACGGACCTGTTCACGTTTTCGTTGTATACTATCGTATTCGGTTCGACCATCGGAGCTTATGTGGGTCTCACCTCGGTCATTTTGGTCGACCTGCTGGGTCTCGACAAACTGACCAACGCTTTTGGAGTCTTGCTGCTGTTCCAAGGGCTCGCCTCCCTGGTCGGACCTCCTCTTGCGGGTATTTGTTTTGTTTGTCGACGAAAAATGAATGCACCGTATAATCGTTGTCGTTTTGTTCGGTCTAGGTTGGTTGTACGACTGGCTGCAATCGTACAATCCGGCGTTTTACTTGTCCGGCGCCAACATCGCCATAAGTGGTCTCATGCTGTTTGCGATACCTTATGTACAACGGAGATACAAACAAAAGGAAATTGAAAAAATGACTGCTGTGAATTAGAAGATTAGTCGATATTACTGGCATGTATTTTTGTTGCAAATAATGTAAAAAAAAAAAAATGGCTAACTGTGGTAACGTTAGCAAACCATTAAAAATATACCTTAATTAATTTAAAAAAAAAAAAACAACACCTATGTTACGCTACTACAAATGTTATATTTTTATCTTGATATTTTTTTATTAACTGTTTTAACCAGCAAATGTGACTCATTCCCTCCGTGTAAATCGTTGCTCAAGTTATGCCACGGTTTGGAAATAATTATAAATATTACCATTAATTTACAACTATTTTCTTGTATATAAAAATACATACACATTTATATATTTTTTTAAGAAACAATAGCTCTGGAATTTTTATAGAAGTTAAAATTTTATGTTATGTGTCGAGAACCTCGTTATAGTTTTATATATAAAAAAAATTAATTCTTATGAAAACTTTTATCTACTAATACAATTAGTAGATGGCTGTTAAGGTAATTAATTTAAGACTTGTATTCCTTTTTTTTAAGTATACATAATATATAAATTATTTATTTTTTATAATTAATAAAAAACGTGTTACATAATTTACAAGGGTCTATTATATGAGTGTATATATATTTCAGTTATTATTATTGTTATGTTATAATATATTTTTATACACGTAATAATGGTCAAGAGTATTAAAAAAAAAAAAAATTATTTATTGTTTGACAAACAATGCTAAAGTTTTTGCGGGTTGTTATCAAACGACGATTGTAAGACTTCTGTAGTATTATCTGATTTATTGAAAAATTATTTTTGATATTGATTGGTATCATATTGCTTTTAGAGTATTTAAAAAAAAATAATAAGAAATTAAATTGATACTTAAGTTACTTTTTATTATAATTATATTACTTTGTTACGAGATTAAAATATATTATTAATTTAAATACAACTATTATTTGTTTGCAAACTGTCACTATTTTTGATAAATAAAATATTTAGTTTTATGTTATTTTGAATAATTAAGCAGAAAATTTTGACACAGAATATTCTAAAATAGTTTCAAACTTTAGATGATATAACTACTTATTTGTACACTTTTTTTTGAAACGACTATTGTGAAGTAAATTATATTGTGATTGATGTGATTTTGAACGATGCTATCTGTAATTATTTTAAAGGAAAAAAAACTATTTTATTATGAATTGTACGCAACAAACTATCGGTTGAACGCGTTGCTTAGTTTTTTATGTGTACATTTTTTATAACACACTATGTTAAATCAAAAAAAAAAAAAAAAATACTGTGGCCAATTAATTAATTTTAAGTATTACCTATGTATCTAAGGAATTTATTGTTACCTTTTAGACACTATAATGCAGGAATATTTTTAATAAATATGCTATTGATGCACAGGGGTTTTATTCATTTATAACCCAGTACTCTAAAAAAAAAAAAAAAAAAGCCAATAAAGTTATGATCTCAGTTTTAGTTCTAACCAGAAAATTACTTGGATTCTCTATTTAAATTTGTTGAAAATAATTATTAGCTACTAATTTGTGTAATCATTTCTCTCCAGAGTAAAAATTAATAGCTAAAATATTAATACTTACAATAAGTAATTTTTTGTTGTACACAAGCAGTGCGAGACTGTTGTTAGTGACGCGATCAGTTAAGTGAAGAGGAAAGACGACAAGACAATGTCATACAAACAAAACTAGTTTATTTTCAAATAAATATGATAAAATATTATTTGGAAAAAATAAAACGTGTTTGACTTATAAAATTTGAATGGGGGGAAAAAAAATTAAAATATGAAATTGTGTTGCACATGGAATCGCTCGAGGTTACAAATTTAATTCTTTGTACAACTTAGAAAAAATAAATTTAACAAAAAGTGACTAACAAAAATTAGTTTTTACCAATTAGCCAATAAAAAAAAAATGTATATGGTAAAAAATAAACACATGGTGTTATGCTGTAAAATTAAACGGTTTTCTTTACTGCCGCCACAATATTTTTGGCGCTGATTCCAAAAAGATCCAGTAGGACAGCCGAAGGTCCAGAACGCGGAATGTCTGTCACTGCGAGTTTCTTCACAGAAATGTTCTTTTCTTCAGCTACGGCCGACATCACCGCTTCGCCTAGACCACCTGGTACGGAAAAAAAATTAATATTAATATTGTAATTAATATTTAATGTTTAAGACACAAGCAACGACATACCTTCAGGGTAATGATCTTCGACTGTAATTATATTACCACCACATTCTTTTGCGTTACTTATGATGGTTTGGGCATCTAGTGGTTTGATGGTGAACGGATCAATGATACGAACACTAATGCCAGACTTGCTCAACTCCTCGGCAGCGTTTAACGCTTCATAGAGTGTGACACCAGCACCGATCACCAACACTTTATCTGATGGAGAGCTCTTTACAACCTTAGCCTTTCCGATCTAAAAAAAAAACAGATGATTTCAACATTACACACCGAACAGAACAAATTATAGCCCCATTCTAGATCTACCTTAAACTCTGAAACTACACTTAAAAAAAGTGGAATAAAGAAATTATGTTGGAGGAAAGGGTATTTAATAATAATTTGGCTTGTCAATTAACGTATATTGATAATATTATGACTAAATAACATTCCATAGAATTTTATAACTTATTCGACTATTTTTAAAAAAGTTATAGCGTGCTTTAATTTTTCGTTGAAAAATAAGTACATTTTTGTCGATTTTGAAGGAAGGTATAAACTTTTTTAATTTTTCGCCCAATAAAAAGTACTGTCCATGTGGCATGTATGTTTTATGATTTGCTACATGAAGAAAAGGGTTCAGCGGTGTGATAACGTGTGTTCAAAGAGAAAAACTAAATACACATAATGAGATTATACATACTTGGAATACTTCGTCATTTTTGTAAATAACGGCTGTTGGAGGCCTAGATGTACGTATGAAACAAATTCCTTTGGTGTTGGCAGCTATTTCTACCGATCTTTCAGTGCTGACAGCGTCAGCCGGGTAGAAAACAGTCGATCCTGATAAATGTTTAAAATTAATTATTTTCAAGCTCTTAAAAAAGTTGACTAAGTGACAAATTTGATCACTAAAAGTGACCTTAACAATTTTTTACTAACATATAAAAAGGTTTATGTCTATAACTGATATGAATTACAAACTTTTATATTTATTAAATATGTAATATCAATAAAAATTAAAAACCACATTGGTAAAATATATAACGGCCAAAATATTATATTAAAAAAAACTGTTTTACAGCAGTTCTGATTTTTTTATCTTTGCTGCGGAACTGACAAGGTATTGTTTATATAATGATAAGCTTTGTTTTTACATTTTCTAACCCCTCTCTCCCCTTTTGGGGAAAGGATAAATCTTATGTGGAATGGTTTAGCACTGTACATTGAATATTACTGTTCTTATTAATTTCCCCTTACAAGTTTGGAAGTAATTTGACCATTTGTCAAGTTGAAAAATGTTTATGAATAATTTTAGGGTGTTTTTCTCGATCTTAAATGAAAAGGGATAAACTTTTTCATTTTTGGTCCCATGAAAAATTACTTTTCACATTTAAATCCTAATCTATATACTCGCATCATGAAGAAATTAGTTTAGCAGTGGATATTGTGAATTAATAAAAACAAAACAATACTTTCTCAGCTCTGCATTGAAGCTAAAAAATACAACTTTTGATTTATTCTAGTTTTATTTATTTGTTTGTACATACCTGGTACACTTCGGAACAAGGCTATATCTTCCAAACCCATCTGGCTGGGTCCGTCCTCACCGATACTGATTCCACAATGGGATCCGACAAAGTTTACGTTAGTTTGTGAAATGGCACCCATACGAATCTAAAAATGTATTTATTCAATAATTGTGGGGCTGGTTAAATTATCTGCCAAGTAAATACACACTTGATCGAATGCCCTGGTGAAGAATGTGGCGAAGGTAGACACAAACGCAATCGTTCGGTCTCGACATGCTGTTCCTACTGCTACGCTTACCATGTTTTGTTCAGCGATGAAACATTCGATATGTCTCTCGGGGAATTGCTAAACAAAATGTATTACAACATAATTACATGAAACATAATGTATTAAGAAAATTGTCTACATCTAAAAGGTTACAATAAAAACCTTACGACTTTTATTTTGTCGGAGTATGTAGAATTTTTGGTGTCGGCATCTAAGGCGATTACTCTACTGTTGTTTGCTGCGATTTTGGCTAAACCAGTACCGTACGCTACACGTGTAGCTACTTTCTCGCCGAGTTTATAAGCTGGAGGAGTGTTCAACTTGACGTTAGTGATATTGATATTGGGAGCATCTTGGATGGGTTTTGGAATGTTAACAGACAATTTCTTGTTTCTTATTTGACCGTTCACCTCCTGAAAAATGAATGCTGGTAATTCATATTCACTTGACTCTTAAAACACTTAGCAAACTTTATTAGTACACACCTCTAAGACTTTTACTGCCTTGTCGTTTAAAGGTGTACCGTGCCATTTTTCCAAATCTTCAATGTTGGTAAATCCTTTACCTTTGAATGTTTTTGCTAAGATGGCTGTTGGTTTGCCCTTTGTGATCGCGGCTTCATGGAATGCCTAGAGTTAGATGGAATAAAATAAACTATACCAACACCTATTCTGCCACACAAAACCAACAAATTTGTTTAATATTACTTTAGCTAATTCTTCGATGTCATGTCCATCGACAACAATGGCGTTCAGACCAAATGACGTCAATCTCTGTCGGTAAACTTCCATGTCATGTTGCAATGGCGTAGGTCCCGATTGACCCAATCGGTTGATGTCGAAAATTACAACTAAATTGTCTAAGTTGTAGAACGATGCAAAGTTCAAAGCTTCCCAGACAGAACCTTCGGCGCTCTCACCATCACCCAACAAACAGAATGTTCTGGTGAAAAAATATTTATATTTATTTACTCGTTTGGGTATTCCAAAGTTATGATTTTATAAGTACGGCATTTTTTAGTGAGTTACCTGTAAGACGCTTTGTCAAAGTATTTTCCAACATACGCCATTCCACATGCAACTGAAAGACCTTGGCCTAAAGAGCCGGTACCAACATCAATGAAGTTTAAACGTGGAGTGGGATGACCCTCCAGGTCGCTGTCAATCTTTCTCAAATTGGTCAAATCTGAGACCGGGAATAATCCAGCTTCAGCCCATGCTGTAAAATATAAGTAAAGTTATGTTAAATGTATAAGATATTTTTATTTAATAAACCAAAATAATAGTAATTTCAAACATTTTTATTAGTGTATAAAATAATATTTAAAAACAATATCAATTTTAATGGACTTTTCAAGTATTAAATTATTATTTAAAGTTTCAAATAATTATTTAATTTAATACATTTGAGAAGTTGACTGTTCCTGTTAGCGATTTAAAATAAATATTTATTAGATTTAATTATTTAAACTTTTATTTGAGAAAGACGAGCAGTTGAGTGGGTAAATCGGCAGTGCGCTCACTGTCATTGATTCAATATTCGGTCAGGCGGCTCTATCTGCTGGCTAGAAATCATGTAGTTAAAAACAGCCCTATATCAGGCAACAGACTAATTAATGACCCATAATTAACTGAAAATTTGTCAAGAAACCTCCTATCTAGGAAGGGAAGCAATGGCCTTATATGGGTTCCTTAATTTTTCCAATAACGAAACTTTTACTTAAAAAAAAAAACAATTATTTAGTTAAAATTAAAAATTGAATTTGTTATTCAACCCCTAATTGGTACAGTGGAAAAAATTCACACTTTTAAACTGCTTTAAAACATTTACCTAAAATCCCGTTGTCATTTTAATGCTACCTCCAAAGAAAATCATTTTTATTAACAACATCTAACAGAAAACAAAAACTGTGGGACGCAGTGTATCAGTTAAGGGTTTAATTTTCTAAAATACAATTTTTATGGAAACTAGTTTAAAATTATATTTATTATTTGAGTTTTTAATTAATTAAATTTTTTTTTTCAATTATTACATTACTTATAATTTATAAAACCATAATAATATGAACTACATTTATTAAGCTATTTTTAAATTACCTGCATATAAAATTGGAGCTGCATGACCCTTAGACAAAATGAATCTGTCATTTGATGCATCTTTTGGGCTCGAAACTTTGTAGCGCATTGTATGGAAAAAGAGTACGGACATAATTTCTGCCATTGAAGCACATGATGTAGGATGGCTGCAAGTAAAAACCACATTTTACTAAAATATTTATTTTAAGCAAGTTTTTTTTTTTTGTAAACAAGCCTAAATAATTTAATATAACACTGAACCAAAATGTAAAATTGTCTTATCAATAGTTATCATGTCAAGCAAGGTGATATAAAAAGCTTATTATAAAATAAACCTTTATAAAAATCTTTATAATTCTAACATTTTATACTGATTAATTTATCATTAACAAAAATATAAAATAATTAATTAAAAAACACGTCTGTTGATATACAAATCATTTATATTTAAATTATCAATTTATACAATTTAATTGAATTCGATATCTTTTCTTATCATCTGCTAATCGTTTTTTATACCTTTTTAGTTTAAATGGAAACTGTAGGTAATTAACACATTTTATACTAGGTACTTATGTTAACAAAAAAAAACATTTTATTTTTAATATATTGTTTTATATTCTATACAAAATCTTTTTTATAATGGGATAGGTGGTTAGGTACTTGATTTTAAGTTATATTTTAATGAATACAATGCATTCTTAACAAAATATTAATTTGATTATGTTAATGTAACCTTCTAGGGCTTGGGTATGTGACCGGTTTGATTATGATTATGCGAATAATTTAACAGTTTTTATTTTAATTTTTAAATTGGTTCATTGTTATTGAAACCGCAACCTTATGACACAAGACAATGTATTTAAGAATAATCAGCCGATGTCTTTTTCCCACAAATCTTCAAGTATTATTATGCATGCATATTAACAGTTGGCAAAAATTTAAAAAAAAACCCAAATCCATTAGTATGAAGCACAGCAAATTAATGGTATTTAACCAGAAAATATAGATTTCATTGGATCTACACCGAATTAAAACTTAAATTGGTCTGTTTTTTTTTTTAATGTTAACTGGGTTATTTTCAAACCTGATATATACATATACATACACAATTTACTGATTATTACATTATAATAATTGATGTAGGTCACGTTTTAATATTTTTTCTCAATGGGAAGTTTATCAAAACATAGCATTAAAAATTGGAGGTATTTTTCCTTGCGTTTTGACAAATCCTTTAAAATTAACCAACTTACATAATATGATTATTTAGGTTTGGCTCATTAAATAAATAAGTTGTGAGCGAGACAACGTTTGCAGTAGCCAATAGTAATGTATCGCATTGTCAGCGGAAAAATCACTTTGATTTATCGTAAAGCTGTATCTTACCCGGATTTCGAAGCGTTAGTGGCCACGATAGAGTTGATTCTGAGTTTGTTGGCCAAGTCCCGTAGGGTCTGTGTGGCTGACGATTCCATTTTGTGGTAGTTTTCCATTTCGAAGGATTATTTTACTATTATAAATAGGTACGGCGTTTGATTTACTACCTGCGCACAAACGATGGGTTAATAATAATAATAATAATAATTTTTCCTTTCAAAGCTCGACACAAGAGCCAAAATGAAAGGTCGAAACGATTATTAATGACGGTAGGACGTACCTTGCGCGCACGAGGTCGGCGATGGAAAGAGAGAGGACCTAACAGGTCGTCGGCGGCAAAAGTGGCAGTCAGGCCGAATGAGAAATGAGCGTTACAAAATATATAATTTGATTCGAACGCCAAGTATAATAATAGTAAATAGTATTATTCTACAGACCTACAGGCTACATGTAATAGTAGTAGAGAGAGGTTGTAAATTGAACAGTACATCATGCACGGGCAAAGTGCAAGCCACGTGGGTGGGGACGACCAAGGTGAGTGGTTTAGGAGTGACGGGTGGATAAAGGAGAAGGGTGAACGTTAACAGCGTCGTGAAGGACACCGGCCGGCCCGCTTTGCCGGAGATAAGACAGCACAGTTTAACGAACCGGTTCCCCGGTTACCGGTTACCGTTGGTATCGCACAATCGCCGGTCGCGTACTACTGCGATTGGTCACTGCCGGGAGCGCGACTACGCTGACTTCAAACTGTACAAAAATGTGTACAAAAGTTTTTTCCTTTCCAAATTAAAAATACATAAACTTTATTTCAACTTCTAGAAAGCGTAAAAAAGTATTCAGTTAGTTGTGTAAGCAAATGTAAAGATTAAAACTTAAAATGTTTTCTTGTGAAATCGTACGTTCTACGTAGTCTGGTAGTCACCTACATTTAGTAAGCTATCAATTTTTGTTTTTTTCAGTTTATGTTTAATCTCTAGACGTATTATAATTAAACATATTTAATTTATATAAACCGTGCTGAGAGTGAAAATTTCATGTTTTTAACGTTGACTTTTTTTTTTAAATAAAATTTATTTTATACCTACATAGTATATTGTTTGGAAAAAGAACGGTTTGAACTCGCTGACCTTGAAAATATGCCGGGAACACAGTTGGTCACGGTACATGAACCAGTTTCAATTATTATTACTACAAGTTAATACCTAACTGAAATCCCTATGTTCACTGTCGAAAGTCGGTAATACATATTTGGTTAATTAGAGTGACCGAGACGGTTTTTCTCTTAATCTTAAAAACAAAGTGTAAGCTTATGTCTTCTTTTCGATCACATACGAAGATAGAAGTATGCTAAGTGTAAGCGAATATGCCTCATAAGATATTTTAGTGTTTTATAAACTATTTAATTTTCGGTTATTATTACCTATATGACATTGATTATTTTTTGTACATAAATAATTATGAAAATACCATCCGGCTAATATATTCAAAATAAATAATTAAGTGTGTTAACCTTAGAGAATTTCATCAACTAATTGTTTAATTAGTTTTAAAGCGAAATTTAAATAATTATAACATTTTTATTTACGTGTTTTTAAAAACACGTATTTTGAAGAAAAAAAATATATATATTTTTTGGCATAAAATTAAAAAGTAAGGTCAATTTACAGAATCTGACGTCACTATCATTTTTGCCCTAATAACACATCTTTAGAAAAAAATTCACTGATTGTAATGGTATAAAATTTAAAAATTAAAAACTTAATTGTATTTTAAATAATATGAAGGACCCCGGGGGGGGGGTCTCCCTTAGCCTTCTTCCCTGCTTATGCGACTGGTCAAAATATATATTATGATAAATTGAGAACTTAAGATCAATCCTTCTACGTATGTTACCTTAGTTTTTAGTTTTGCATACATTTTAATATATACCTAGTACACATAAAATATGATTTTTAATCCAGCTGGTAGGTGAGCGCAGAAACGTTAGTCCTTATGACCTTGATTTATCGAAAACTGTTTTAAGGTAAGATCTCCGAGCAAGATGAAAATAAATTAACTTGAAAGATTTTTTTAATGATTTAGGATTTATCCTACAAGACCTTCATTCGGATCGTGTACACGTTTTCGAGCCATGTTGTAATCGGGAGTTCGATCAGACAACTTTCAGATCAGATCAACAACTTTTGGTATTGTATTTAAATACACTAAGACTCGATACTGTTTTTGATTAACTGTTGCATTCATGTGTGATGACATTGAAGATAGCAAAGCCATTTTTTTAAATTATATACTATAGTTGTGTGTCTACTTTGTATTGGTTTTGGTGGGAGTTGACTGACAACTCTCCTAATTATGTTAACCAATAAATAGACGTTTATGTGTCAGTAAAGTCTAACCTTAATAGTAAAACTGATATTTTTGTGAACGATTATGGTATAATGTATATTTCTATTATATATCAGACAGTTAAAATCAAATGACGTAGAATCTTGTAAGTTATATGGGTAATAATAAGTATATAGACATACGTTAATTTGTTCATTAACTCACGAGTCGAGTAATAAGAATAAAACATATTATGTAATAATACAAATTAAAAAAAGGATAACAATAATAATAATTGTGTTGTACCGACCAAAATATCATGCTATAACCAGTTTTAATTGGCTACTGTGTCGTTTTGGCTCTTTCAACTCGTGCAATCCGAATTAATACTCAATTGAAACAATCTACAGATCACCGTAGTTTTATATATTATGTATAATATAATATATAATTACATCTAATACAGATCTGTATAAAGTGTTGTGTACTTGGATAACGTATAGGTAAGACCGATAACCTGTCGACATGATAATCGCTAAAAAAAAATATTCGGCCGATAAAAAGTTATTGTTAAAAATTATTATTATTATTATATTAGCTGCCCAACGTTGACGTCAAATGTCTTAAAACCCTGCGATAAATGATTATTTACACGTTGTATTTTGTACAGTCTACAGAAATGCAGTGAGCACCTTTGGGCATTGATTAAGTATACGTCTTAATCAATGCTTTGGGCTATAATAGACCTAACCATGCAATTATTATAAGCCTGTTGTATGTTTGTTCTGGTATTTTTTTTAATTAAATTTTTAATAAAGATATTGTTGTACAACCATTGTCATCAGCGTCGGACTAGCTCGTAAAAACCAAATGTAAAATAATCAAATATAACAAACATATAATAATTCTTTAAAAGACATTTATTTAGAAAACAAATATAAAACGTTTTTAAAAACAGATAAAAGTTATGTGTAAATGAAATAGCACTTCACTACTACAAATTTGAAGAAAACAATCTAAATCCAACCAATATCATTTTTTAGTAATTTGTAAATATCACTATATAAATAGTAAATGCTAGTAATAGTAGTATATTAACTGGTAATACTACTAGTGAATACTACGAGTAATAGTAGTTTTAATGAAATTGCGATTATTTTTTAAAATGTAGTTTACGCATACAACAGGTTTATTTTTAATTGAAGTTTTAGACCTTAATTCCAAGGACAATTTCCAAAAAATGTTAAAAATCTAGCCTTTTTTTACGAAAACACTAAAAAATATAATTTTTTAATTTGATCAGTAGAAATTTATAGAAAAATGTGATGCGAAAAGGGTTCTCTTATTGTCAAAGTTTATTTCAAAGAAAACGCTAAAACATCGAAGATACATTGGTCAACACATCGAATCAATCAAATTATAACATTTTGTTACACAATTATAGTGTGCACTGTGTAGTAATTTTAAGATTAAAAATGTGTAAAATTTTTGGGTATTTTTCCTAGATTTTTAAGAGGAAGCGGGTGAATATTTAAAAATTTTAGCCCAATATAAAAAAGTACCTTTTAGGTACAATTTATACTGCATACACTTGCCACATAAAAAAAATCTAGTTCGGGGGTTAAGAGATATCGTGGGCCCAGAGTCCAGACACAAAAGTAGAAAAATAAAAACACGTTATTGTAAAAACAATTCTTTCTTAGCTCCGTATCGAAGTTAAAAATACAGTGTCCTACAGTTTATTTTCCGATAACTTTATCAAAATATGCTAAGTTAAAGTCATTATTTTTCTCAGGAAAATGGATCTCCTGAGACTTGTTTTTGTACAACAATTTCTTATGAGGAGTATTAATTTAAGAGTAGGATATAAATATAAAATTTCAACAAGATTTTCTTAATGGTGTGTTGATAATGAAAATTGCAGTTTAATATCAATTTGTAATTTTAACAGATAAATAGGCGTTTTAAGCATGAATCATGAAAAGGTTTAAAATGTTTTCTTCGACGAAATTACAAAATTATAAGTAATTACAATTTATTGATGGTGATAGAAACTTATGTTCAGTATATTTATGTTGTATCATGATCCCATGTTATGCCAGTTGAAAGGGAACAAGATTTTAATCTAGAAGTGAAATGTGAACTTTAAATACAAATTCTTTTAGAAGTCTCTAAAATGTGTTAGTGTTTAAACTGTACAGGTCGGTTTGAATTTATTAAATTCTGAATGATATGCGTTTTGAGTATCTACATAAAACGTGGGTGACAGGTACTATAATGGTTGTGATATTTCAAGGAGAAAACAGAGAGTGAAAGAGAATATAAACCCTTTTGGCATTTTATCTCCCTCTTTTTTGTGTTCTCCGCCCCTCGATTCGTTCTTGACTACATTAATAATATCACATTCCGTATTGTATGCTGCTATTTGATAACACGTGTAATGATGTGTACCTACACTATCGATTAAACAAGTTTGTAACGTTGTCGGTTTTGATATTATAATAACGATTTTGATTAAAAAAGCGTCGTCGTCGTTTAGAGGACGAGTGGGTTAATGTTAATTTTTTTTAATTAAATACATTTTCATGGTTAAACATTTTAAACCGATCAGTACTTTATATATCAGTACATTCATTTGTTTTACGTAATATCTTTGTTACTAAGGTTTTTAGCAAATTCAATGGTATCAGAGTACTGTACTTTTTGTTTTTTTTGTTATAGGTACATTGAATTATGTTTACAAAATGTAATTATGTATTTTTATTTGCCCAACTCTGGCTCAGGCTCCATAATTATTGCTTTATGGTAGTATAATGTATACTATGTGTACTTAGTGCTTCACAATAACAATAATTTAAACAATTAATACGACAATAAATTGGAGATATTTAATAAGAGATCTACCTAGAAAAGCCGTGTTTAATTGGGTTTGCCTTTAAAGAGCTCACGTTAACGAATATTATTGCAAATCTATATGCTATATAATTTCAAATCATTTAATATTAGGCATGTCAAAATATTAATATGATGTGTATGCGCTTTTTGTAGTAATACAATTTTTGTTTTTTTTCAATATCAATATTCAATAGTGGGAATAAACCAATTTCTAAAAAAAAATCACAAGCTTGCTGGAATTCAATGGAATATTTTACACCTATTTT